TTTATTCCCCTAAACACCTAGAAAACTTCCAATATTTCAGCTTGGCAACAAATTCGTGCCAATTACCCAGCTAACCTCGTTTTCTTTGCCTGGTGTTGCAGTTTGCATTTGCAATTATTTCTTCTGTTGTTGCATTTTACGTGGCAATAAACCTTTTGGACGACCGCCCACGCTAAGACAAAGAACTAAAAGGTGAAACTGAAACAACATGCTAACCTCATTTCTCAGCCCGAAGGGAAAAGACAAGGAGGGATAGAGAAAGGAAAGAGACGGAAGCCGCGACAAACAACAGATGTTTGGTGCCACAAACTGACCTACCCCAAATGGTATTTCCCATTAAACCACAATTTAATATTGCATTATCGTAGAAACCAAAAAAAAAAAGAGAATAGATTACGTATTAAAAAGTTTAAATATGCAAATCACAGTTAGTTCTCTATTCATTATGTGAAGCCAACCCTCTTTTCTTTCTCAATTTTTTTTTACGACCAACAGAGCGTTAAATTATTTTGGTTCAGACTTTAAAGCAAATTCTTTACCAACTTTAAATATCCTCTCAGAACAGCTATTTTCCACCTCTCCCCCTTGTTTTCTTTGTTTTTAATTCTTTAGGTTTTGACTGTCCGACAAGTTTCTAATTACCAGAAAATGCAATGCCTGGCTAAGTTTGCTTTTCTTTTACTTGGAATTCTGAACGTGGCGTTTATTTTTGTAATCCAGCAAACTGAATCATTTTTACGGTCTTATAGTTAAGGTGCCCTTGTCAAAGCTAAATAATCACATAAACACATATAAGCAGAGGTCAATACAGGGCCTTACTGATAAAGATTCGACAAGTTTAAAGCGCCGAATTTGTTTAGAAATTCTTTATTTACCTAACAATCTTAGAATGAGATTGTTTTATTATATACTGTAGTAATAAAATATTCAAAGAAGATAAGGAATAATAATGGATGCACGAAAATACAATTAATTCTTAAAAAAAAAATCATTATTTTCATGTCTATAATAATATAAGCTATTTACAAATTCCAAAATCTTTTTGCTTTCATATTCTGTTAAGTCAACTGAACCAAATCAATTAAAACACAAATTGTTAATAAAGTAACTTTCCTTTTTGTCAGCTCGGTCTTTTGAAATTTCCATATTTTTCTACAATTTTATGTCTTGCACATGCCCGCCAATCAAAAACAGCATAAAAGAAAATTATCATTAGCTACTCTTCAACAAAATTGAATTCCACAAAGATTTGCATACAATGGGTGGAGAGAAGAGGGGGATGAAAAACATGATGAGTCGAAAGAGGAGGAGCTCATTAAATGCAAATTTTACTTTAGTGCCGTGCATTTTCAGTGCAGCGTAGTAAAAAAAAGGTTGTGAAGTATGAGCAAAATGGGATCAGGATACCGAATACTATGTACAAGGTTCATATTGCGTCTCACTGTTAAAGTCCACTGTCCCAACATTATTGAATATTATTGGTTCACTGTATCAAGTGAATACTATATATTGTATGAAATTGGAAGACAAGAGAAATTGCGGAATCTGATGTGGCAATTTAAAAACAAATATTTTCCCTCCAAATTTACCAATTTATTCCTAAAATGTTTTAAAAATATATTTGAATATAATATCTTATTTAGTGATGTAATCTAATGTCATCCCAAATTCTTTTTAGCAAATTTTAAAGGATCACAAATAATCTAAAGCTGCCAAACTTTTGCACAAACATTTTTTAGTTGTTCGAAAAAATACATTAAATTTTTGAAACTATTTAAAATGGGGTGTTATATGTTTATTACAACCACGATTGAGGGAGGCAAACAAAATTCGTTTAAAGCACGCGAAACGCGAAAAGCGAACTGAATGAACCAGAAATTCAGGGGCAAAATAAACTGAGGCAATTAAAGACGGAGAGAAAAAAGAGAGGCTGGGAGAGCGAAAATGGGGAGGCGCAATCGTTATAAATAGTAAAAACAATAATCAACAAACAAGAGCAATGACAAGAGCGATCCCCCAGAAGAAAAGTTTTTCGCCATATGTCCGAGGGTGATTCTCTCGTCGGTCTCTTTTTTCTTAACATATGGTATTTGAGTCAGAGACAGCGCATAATTATTTGGAATTTTTATGTGGTCACCCCAACCGCTCCCAAAATCCCTCCCCATTTTACATACATATATATTTTACTCATTACTGAACAAAAGCGCAAGTGAATAAGCGTGGACACGAACCGAAAAGCAAAAGTAACGGGACGCATGCGGGATGAATGGTAAGGCATACCCCATGTTATCCCATCTCTTTCGTACACCCCCTTTTTTGTTGATGTCATCGGAGGTTCTTTTCCGTTCTTTTTGTTGTTATTGCCCATGTACCTTAGGCCTCTTGCTTATTGGTTTTAATGTTATTTTTCAGTTCCGGTTCGTTGTCTTCTTCTTTTTCTGCCTCGGGCACTATGCCGTTAGATTTATATGCCTACTAATTGACGAACCATCGCTAATGAAAGAACATTTTCTTACCAAACTTAACGGTATGGAAAATGCCTAGTAGAAGAAATTAAGCCGAAGTAAAAAGAAGCTACATATGTATGTACATTTGTATTTTGAATGAACTTGAAAGTGCTATGCGTGATTTTAGATGACAGCTCTTGATATATGTATTTAATTCCCTTTTTATGAGGGAAATTCTCAAAATAAATTGGAAAAGAAAGTTCTTACTGAAAATTCTTATAAAATGTTTTAAAAAAAGGTATTATTTTGTTCTTTTTTTAATACCAAATTCTTATCTTTAAGTTCTCAAATTCTCTAGGTTTTTGGACCACTCTTGTACATGTAAAAACTATTCAATTTTAATTAAAACCAAACTTTTTGTATATACGTTTACCTATTTTAGATTTTGAATATTCAATTCATTAAACTTTTACTTTTACTTTTACCAATATTCCAATTAAAATCTTGCTAAATATGTATTAAGTTGTAAGCCTTTTTCTGCCTTATTTCTTAAATTTTATAATCAACGAATCATTTTAAAGCGAACAATTTTACAAGCACAAAAAGTGTTGTGTTATTATAATTCATTACACTTAATTAGTTAATTCAGTACACAAAAACTTTGTTTAGTCCATTTTGTGAAATTATTTTTTTATTTTATTATCTTCTTTCGTTTTTCTTCATCAATTAGCGTCAGGCTTTATCAATTTATAAAGCCCCCATATCACACATTTTCTTTGTACTGCATTTTATTTATTTTATTTTATATTTCTTTCAATATTTATCATTAATTTCATCATTTATCAATTTCATGCCACACTTGATTTTCATTTTTTATTTTTGATAAAACACTTGGCAGACTTATTCAACCGCACTTTTCAATTTAAGATCAATCAACCAATATTTGCCAGAGGGCATGAAAATTGGAAATATGAAAAATGAAAAAAGGGGGGTTTATTTTGATTAAGGTTTATAACAACAGGCCGTGTAATTAACGTATTTTTTCCGATTTTTTTTTAATTAAATAAGCGTTTAACGAGCCAAAGGCACCTGACACAGCTGATAAACGATTCCGATCGATAAAGCGGCAAAAAAAAAAACAAATAGCACACATAATTTGGGGTAATTTTTGTTGAATTTCTTGAATTGTAAACCTTTTTTTTGGCTGTTTTGCCTCAGGAGAGCAGCAGCAGCTGCATTTTCCTTTTCATTTTCCTTGGCAGTTGCATTGCCCAACAACAAAACACCCGCGCGAGAGAGAGAGGGCGTCTGGGAGAGAGCGACCGTTGCTCCGCTTTTTAGTGTTGTGAACGCGGCAAAAGTTAAATGCAATCTGAGAGAGAAAAGCGCTGAAAAGGCAGCGCCAAGCGGCGGCACCTCCTCTGCTGGCGACGGCGTCGTAGTCGACGTCGGCAGCGACAGCGACCGCGACTTGTTTTGGGTGCCCGAAAAAAAGAAAAACAAAAAACCAGAGCCCCACAGCAAAAGCAAAATAAACGCAATAGCAAAATTCCACTAATGCGACTTAGTAGTGTTGGAAATTTGTATTCAATGCACTCGGAAAATAAGATCATTTTGTTTCTAAATACTAAAAATATTTGGCAATGTTGTAAAACTTTATACTTGTTATAAATTTTTATACTAAATTTATATATAAATTTAAACATTTAAAAAACGCATTTAATCATTGTTAAAAATCAAAACATTTTTTTTTTCCACCCACTAAAAAATTCGTAAAAATGTTTTTTTTCCTTTAAATATTTAGCTAACTAATTATTTAAGCTTAATAAAATTTTACAAAATTCATCGTAGAAATTTAAAAAAAAAATTATTAAGTTTTCGACACAATAAAATTATTTTACAATAAAATTTTTTAAAACTTAAAATCCCTTACAAATTTGTATTGCATAAAAAAATGTAATGCGACTAACTTAAGTGTATCGCATTGTAATTAAATTATTAAAAATGTTATTTTTCGTCAAAGAAATAAAATGAACATTCTTTGTAAAAATAAAATGACGAACGTGACAAAACTTTTTAGGAGAGGACCAAAAATTAAATATTCGATAAATTTATTTTTTTATTATTGTTTAGTTGGTGAAATTGATCAAGTGTAGTTCTCTGTTTCTACCTTTGAATATACCCAATAGTGGGGTAATTTTTCTTTCGAGTGTAACATTTGCAAAGTGCATTTGGGTAAAGTGGATAGAAAGGCATAAGGGAAAGGTAATATGAGACAGTCAAAGAATCGAGTGGAAAGAATCAAAAGCGACATATGCGAGCATCACTTGAACTAAATTGAGTCAATTAAAAGTAATGGAAAAGAAAATCAAAGGAAGACGAGTCAGACTTTACGGTTCAGGATGATTCAACGAATTGTTCTGTAAAATGAGCAATTCTACCTAAAGATGTGACAAAGCACATGAAATAATCGAATCGACTCTTCGTTGCGTCAAACTATAAAAAGGGAGCTCCGATTCTCCCTCCTGAAGTATGAATTCAAGTTGCTATGAATTTTAAATGCGTTATGCTCCCATTTATTTTAGTAACGCTAACTTGAACTTCGCATCAGATAATTCGATTGTGTAGCACAAGTGTGGTTGTGTTTAGGAAACAAATGGTAATGGCCCTTTAAAGGGCACCACAGTCTTCGATGATGATTTTCTTGCTGGTTTTTCCATTGTTCGACCCATACGATTCCACCTTCTGGACGATATCCATTCCCTCAACGACCTTGCCAAAGACGACGTGCTTGTTATCCAACCAGGTGGTTTTCTCGGTGCAAATGAAGAACTGCGATCCATTGGTGTTGGCCCCGGCATTGGCCATCGAAAGAACTCCAGGTCCCGAGTGCTTCAGCTCGAAGTTCTCGTCGGGGAACTTGTTGCCATAGATGGAGCGCCCTCCGGTTCCATTCTGGTTGGTAAAGTCGCCACCCTGGCACATGAAATTCGGGATCACCCGGTGGAAGGGAGAGCCCTTGTAGCCGTAACCCTTTTCTCCGGTGCACAGGGCCCGGAAATTCTCGGCCGTTTTGGGCACCACATCCGACCGTAGCTCCATCACAATCCGTCCGACTTTCTCATCTCCGGCGGCTATGTCGAAATAAACACGCGGCAACGACATCTTCGCAAATGCCGAGAATTTACGTAGGAAAGCCAGATCTATTAGGGTTTACGTCTAATTTGACTTGTCCGAAAACAAGTGAAAATATTTACCGGATAAGTTGGCGGAGACAGGATGAAAATAAAATCAATTCCCAAGAGAACCTTACAGTCGAAAAGTTGAAACTTAACTGACTGAATTACTGAGCTAGCGAGGAATCTAAAATAATAGCAGGTTGAAATAAATTTCTAAGCCTCCTTTATAAAATCCAGAAACACCTTTTGAAATTAAAGGTATCACAGCCTGCTTTTCACTTTTCAAAAATCAAACAGGAAGCACAGCCTACTCAAAGAATTATATTAGGTATTTGTTTTAAAATGGGACCCTTAAAACACTGTTATATAGTTTCAAATCTTATATTTCCTTTTTCAAGAAGGACCTAGAACTTTTACACTTTACACATTCTCCTATCTTTATATTTCGCACTACGTAATATTGCAATCTTTATTTACTTTTCTCATTTGTTTAACCGACTCTTTAATCAACGAAAGACTAGCAGATCGGTGAACGTTTAAAACCAGCGCTATTTACGTTGCGTTCGCAGCTGTGTACCAACTTTATATACTCACCCGATGAGTGTATGTTTTTAAAATTAGCCAAAAGTATAGTCAATATTTATGTACCAAAGCAAACAAAAGTATTGCTCGGAAACTGTGAGAATTATTAAAGTTTTTAAGAAGTTGCTATTGCAATTGGAATTCATGCATTTGTGTGCTTAAAATTTGAGCGTGTATCACTCCCTGAAACCGTTTGTTTGTGTTTAGCTTATTTTGTATACACATTATAGTGCACGGTTTGTAAGTTGCCATGGTAACGATTGGTTTTGGGGTAGAGATATACATACATAAGAATTGTTATGGAGGAATACTAAGAAGGGTTGGACGATAAGATTGGCTGGTAACCTAGGAAGTTGTAAACAGAAAGATAAAAAGAAAGCTACCTTCAGCTCTAGAAATTTTTAGAACAACTATTAAAGTATTTGTTCTATAATTAATATCGATTGAGAAATACAAAAAAAAGGTAAAATATACATTCAAATAATTTTAACGCCTTTCTTATGATAATCTTTTACTCTTCAAGCTGTTTTTTTATTACAAATGGATGAAAAAACTTTATCTTTTTATAATCTAAAAACTCAACTGCTTTAATAGACCCATAGCTAAATGCCAAAAGTTCACAATGGTTTTATACAAGAAGATCGCGAAAAAAAGTAATTCGCACGTAGGCCGTAATTGTTAACTCAACTCTCCACCGCCTCATTACTTATAATAAATGCTGTGCGGCCAAATAGCGAAGACAAGAAAAGATTCAAGCCGTAGTTGGCTAAGACAAGTGCAGCCTCAACTGAACTCGAACTCGAACCCGATTCGATTCGATTCGACTAGTTACCAATTAATGTAACGCCCGTTTGCCTTGGACAACCTTGTGCAAAAACACTATACGAAAAGCCAATATGACGTAATGGAAAGCGTAGGATTTCTACTTGGCAACTGCTCCCAGAGCCACGCCCCCAGAAAAAGGCGCATCGCTTGGGAGAGTGTGTATGTGTGTGTGTGGGAACATAAATTCACGTTATGGCCAATTCTTTGGACGATTTTTCAGCTTAGATAAAAGGCAGACAAGAAACACTTTTGTGGGTTCGTTTTAACACTTACCAAGTGGAATCGGTAAGATAAGAGTGCTTGAGGTAGTTTGTATTTGGCTATTGTGCTTACCTGAAAGTAAAGGAAAACAAAGAACGAATTATTATTAGATTTGGAATAGCAAAAATTAAGATAATGGATATGGAAATGAGGGGAATGTAAAGTCAACAACAGAACAACTTTAATGTCAAGCAATAGCAAGTTGACAAAAAAGAATGAATAAAATGTATATTTATACGTTGATTTTTTGCGAAACTGTTTATCCAATTATTACATTTTCCGGGCATAATTCTATATATGTATATCGCCGAGACAAATGCCGTTTAACTAATTCCAAACCATCATTGATCGATCCATCAAATGCGAACCGGCAAAGAAAAACTGTTCCTACACCCACTGTCTCCAAAAAAAGACCTCTGAAAATGGGCTTCGTCTAGCAGTTCGTGCATTCCATTCGCCACCTGCTAGGCTCGTCTTATCGATTAAACAATTTCGCTGGCACCTTTGACGCCCACCTTAAGACCGCCAGAAGTCGAGGCCCGACACAACATAAAAAGCATAAAGCCGAGCCGAATGAGATATGGAGGGAAAAATACGAAAAACGCGAGTAAAAACCATAAACGAAAATCAATTTTTAACCTAAATGTGACGTTGACCCAGAAACCATCGAAATCCAAAAGACAAAGGAGACCCACACACAACGAATTAAAGCATAAACGTTGCAATTATCATAATTAATGCAAATGCAGCTTAAAGTAGACCGAAATAAAACAGAATTAAATACTCGAAGACGTTTACGAAAACGTTTAGCCCAAATGGAGGAAAATTGTTGTAATAGGATAGATGATGCAAGTCCATTAGGGGGAGGTTAATTGTTCCGAATGGCAGGGAATTCGGATGGCTTGGTCATAATTGGATTGGAACTTATGAGTACAGTTTTGAAACCGTTCTTGAGTATTTGAATTTTCTGAGCTTTAAGTAAAGTCAATTTGTGTTTACTTTTAAATAAAGTTAGAAAAAAATATAAAATCATTTAGAAGAAAGGTGTCTGTGATTAAAAATTAATAATGGTAAAAACTAACAGAGATCGCCACATTAGGAAGTGCCAAGTACTTATAATAAATAAAGAGCTGTTCAATAAAATAAAATTGTAATTTCTTTTCTCGCAATCTTTGCTTTTCTTTTTCCCTCCCTGCTGACATTAGCTTCATTTGTATTCCATTATATTCCATTATATATTATACGTATGCATTCTATTAGCAAGACACCTGGTGGAAGTTTTTGTTTATGCGATGTCTCGTAGGTGGCTGTTTCCAGTCAACGCCTTCATCAATGGCGCAGATATATGGATATATATCCATATTGCCACTGGAGCAGACGACGACGGGGAGATATTCAATTCGAGAGATTACCAAATCCTAAACATTTTGCTTGGGCAACATCGAGGGATGTCGTCACCGCAGATACTCCACTTGTGCATGTATTAACCCAAAAAAACAACAGATTTCTTCCCCACATCTCTTGCCAACTCTGACAATTGAACAAATTGCAATTGTGGCATTGTCTTGGGCCTGCCTACAGTTATAATTGCATAAGTGCGACGATGCAAAACAGCTGGAAATAGTTCAAGACGAATGCAGATTTTAATCAACCTCTGACAGCGCTGGGAAAACTGGGAAGACGATGTCAAGATCTCCCCATCCACAAGCCTTATGTAATAAGTTCGGCTCAATCCAGTGCGATTCTTTTTTTCCGCATTAGATTGTCTGAAAAGTGACCTCAGCTTAATTAAGCCAACGGAGCATTGAAGAAATGGGAGACGGGGTGCCGAAATTGGGGCCAGTAGAAGTGAAAGAAGAATTAAATGGGAAATCGGATTTGGTGCAGTGAAAATCTTTTTGGATACGCTTAACACTTTCCTGGGCATCTGGCCAAGGTGAGATTTGGAAAGTTTCTTGGGTTTCCACCGTCCACTTTCATTCAGGGGTTAAGATTCCATTTTAGAAAAAACTAGAGTGACCTTAATTTGTACTAATTTTTCAAAAAAAAAGGTTGTGATCAGAACATTTAAATATTCATTTATTTTGTCCTAAACTATTATTGTTTTTGTTGTTGACTTGTTCTAAAAAACAAATGGCCATATTTTAATTAAACTTGTTCCTAGTATCAACTGTATTAACTCCGCTTCTTTAAAAATAAAAATGTATTGATAGTATAATATTGCAGGTGGCACAGCCCGACCCTCTATTTGTAATCGAGTTTGTACAGAAACCGAACTCTTATATAATCTACACAAAATCTGAATCTCATAAACTATAATTTAAAACTTGTATATGCTTACAAATATATGTAAGTACAGTTGACTCCAAGAAAATTCTACCACTTAATAAACATAAATAACATTTCCTGCTCGCTACTCATTTTGCATTCAGCACAGAGTTTCACACAACAATCAAACCAAATGCGAGGCACTTGTATGACTTGTAATGATCTTTTAGCCCAACTCCACCCCACCTGTTCCACACCTGGCCAAAATCCCTTTCCCTCGCCCACAAACTCCACATCCGTTTCCCGTTGGCCTGTTGCATAAAAGAACAATCGCACAGGGGCGTTTAAAAATTGATTCGTACGTGATATTTTTCGCAAAACTCATTTTCACTTCTGTTTGTTTTCCTGTCTTGTTTTTTCCTGTAAGCTTCTGCACCTTTCTTTTTATCGTCGTGGCTGGCGACTTTTACCAGGCTCGCACTCCTTTTATTTGTTTGTATTTCGCAATTATGCAGAAAGCAATTTTACACCTGTCACATCGCCATTACATGTGTGTGTCCCTATCAGTTGCTTGTTGTTTCCCTTACTTTCTTTCGGGAAATCTCGAAGTTTAAGATGGCAGGAAAGAAAGTCTTTGCCTGTATTCGTTAATTACTTGAAAAAAACATATTAGATTGTTATCAGAATTATATATTTAAACAGGACAAATTTTTTTTAACAGATATTTAATATTATCGAATTTGATTAAATGAAAGCAATAAGTTATTTTTAGAAAAGAGTTTATTAAATATTATATTAATTAAGCTTAACTAATTTGGAATGCAGCAAAATATTAAACCAGAATTTAAAATATTTTGACCAACCATCTTATTATATTGGCTTAGTTTGTTCTCTAACTTTGTATAAAAATGTACAAATTCGACCACAACAACAAATGTATTGGTTCCTTCCTTGCTTATTTAAAATATTTCCCCCAGTGAAAAGCGTAAATATACCTTACATGTAAAGCACTTATTTAAATGAAAACAGTTATTCAAAAAGACCATAAATATATTTCGCCTTGACCAAGAGTTATATAAAAAGGCTAACTGATTTGTTATAAATAACCTAAATACGTTATATATTTTATCCACTTTTTTTTAATGTTGAATTAGGTTGTTCCCTAAACTTCTATAAAAAATGCATTTAAAATTTATACCGTAACTACAAATGCATTGGTATCTTCCTGTTAATTCAATATGTTTCCCGTTTCCCACAAAGAAAAGCGAAAATATGCCCCAGAGGCGCCGATGGTTTTCCGACATCTTTGGCACTCAATCAAAAAGCTTTTACGTTAAACACTCGCACTTGGGCAGTGGGAAATCTAATTGGCAGCAATTCAAGGGAGGCTGAGTGAATTTCAATGACCTTGAGGCGCCAATGCACTCCCCCATTGGCCATGGCCAATTGCGGAGAGCCTGCTGAAATGCTTTTGCTTTTTCAGCTTTATATAACGGTCGGCGGAGCACAATCGGATTGGACCCGCAGATCGCGATAGACAACGGCAACCCACACAAGACCAAAGCACTGAATTTCACCTGCCAGGTAGCCACGAATTCCCAGCGAAATACCAGCGAAGGTGACTGCCACGGCGGTTGAGGGAAAGAAAACACGTTTTAATTCATTGCGGCCGAAGATCCAAAGTGAAAAGTCACAAATTCACTTTTCCAGGGAACTTTTTTCCCAACATTTTCGAAATATCGACTCAATGAAAATGTTTTTCAAGCATACACATGAAAGTTGGGAAATAATTTTGCAATTGCGAATTCGGTTCAAGTGCAGATTATGCCTCTCCATCAGCAATTTCTTTAATGAAATATCAGACATTGACAATTTTTTTTTGGCTATTCATGCTGCAACATATTTATTCCGTTAATTTTGCCATCTAATGTCAAATCTTTGAAATCAAATTGTGAAAGACAAATGTGTAATAAGTCGAAGAAACTAATTTGATACCTTAACGATATCTCATTGCTAAGAAAACAATCTTTTATTTCCTTCGGATGAAGTAGTGCCTTAGTTTTATTTAATTATTGTTTCTTTATTTAATGAGTGTACTTACCCTATAATCGTAGTCATGACGATTCTCCAAGCTAATGTCGCTGTACATGTCTTCTGTTGTATCACAGTTGGAGCTACGGCCCGATGAGTTAAAGCTCGATGATCTGTAGAGTTGGCTAAAATAAATTGTTTAACATTTAAATTATTTAAATTAAATAATGGGTGAAATACTTAAAGTAAATATTGCATTTATCAACATTTTATATAATTAAATTGTCTGAAAAGTTGCTGAATATCAGAGCTGGTATCTAAATACTTGGACAATAAATTGTTTAAAAATAACAAATTTAAAAAATGCCACTTATATAAATTATATTATAACTATCAAATTGTCAATTTTAAAGAAATTTTTTTTTGGTTCCATGACAACTTAGTCTTGACACCAACCGGACCAGGTTCTTGTTCAATTTATTGACAAGAGTAATTTTACACAACTTTACATGGTTTTACGGTAGCTCCCATGTATATTACACTGTCAACGGTTTGTGTATTTAATATCGGTTCCGTAATGTAGGTCTAGTCGAGACCCGAACCGAATGCACAATGAATATCAAACAGTATTTCACTTTTCAAGAAAACAAATAATATTTAATGTAAATTGTACTGTTTAAACTATCCTAAGAATATTTGTAATTCTTTTGATGTACCATGGATATATTAAACTATCTAATTTTTTTAAAATACATTATGCAATCAAATTAATTTATAACAATGTATGTGGTTTGATTAAGACATAAAAAAGGTATTAAAACTTACCTGGCTAAGGCATTTGAACTAATCTGTCTGCGCCCGGAGCTGAAAAATATAAATAAAACATAAATAGGCAAATGAAATATAATTCAATGGCTCTTCACACCACACAAGTTAACCACCAAACCACTAATAATGGATAAATGCAAATTTAACCCTAAGCCTAACCCACTACAACCTATAGAAGCCCTTCAACAAAAATGGAAGAAATTCTAGCAATTCGAAATGCAAATAAATTAGCTGACATTGAATAGCCACAAAAAGGGAATTACCCACAAAGGCAACTTGTAAAACAACTTGACGCAGGCAGCCAAACAAAAATAAAAAGAAACCAAACACGTGATAATGAAAGAAACAACTACCAATAATAGCAGCCGAAATACAACAACAATGCGCCACCCACGCGAGCAGGTACAAAAAAGTAAAAGCCATACTGCAGCCAAGAAATTGTAGCAGCAAAGAAACGTCAACAAAATAATTGCGAAAGATGTTGATGTAGACAGATAAAGACAAAGACGCAGACGACTAAATTTCGAGTAAAAGTGAAAAAGTAGGGGAAAATGTTTGTCTGCGTAAAGTGCATATCGGGAAAATGGGTCAAAGGTGGGAGACATTTTGCAACTACCAATGCTGAAAGCCAAATGAAGGAGAAAGGGAATGGGAAAAACAAAGGAAATGCCGGAAAAATGTCTTTATTTAAGTATTATTGTTGAAAGGTATTTGTAAAATAAATATTTGTTGAGAAGTTGCCTACTTTTTTATATATTATAACCAGCTAAATAACAATGTTTAATCGAACATGTGATTATAAAGAAAATTGTTATAAGCGGATGCAAAAATAAATAAATAAATCCACTGTTTCTGTGATCATAAAAATAAAATCACTTATCTAAAAAACTACTGGACAGCTGAATTGTATTGTTTGATGCGTTTTAAGTTAAACATTTTCACAACTTAGCACTCATACCAAACAAAAAAAACCACAGAACACAGAAATAAACAAATACTTGTCAAACTTTAACATCAGCTACATTTATTAGCGTTTTGTTTTCTTTATTGTGGTTTCCATCTGAGGTGATCTCACATGGCAAATTCATGGAAAATGCTTTGCTTTTAGCCTGGGCCATAAAAGCGTAGATATGAAAACCACAAATAGTTTCCGTTTTGGAAAATTGAAAACAAGAAATGAAGTAAAATTCGCAAAGCCAGAAAAGTTTGCAAACAAAACGTTAGCTATTCCACTTTTTCTCGCCTCTTTTGTCTCAGTTCGGCCCCAACTGAACTCATTAGCCCACTTTTGAGTGTAGTTGAGCTAAAAACATACAACATTCATGAAAATCTATGTATCTCATCTGGGTTTATGGCACTCCGTGAACGCAACTTTATTTTATGTTTTAATTTACTTTATGCAAAAACAACATACAATTTGAAGTTGCGTGCTTGTAAAAAATGGAAAAAAATCTAAAACAAGCCAGCAAATTATTGCAAATTGACCATAGCCGAAATGTGTTGAGAGGACCTGCTGCAAAGCATTGCGCAATTTTTGCAGCCAAAAAGCAGAAGCAGAAAATGCAAAAAAAACATTTTCGGTTAGTTGGAGTTTTTATGAGTCAGTGGACGTCTGGCATTTTATTGATGCAAAGCGAAGTTGACATTCCGTTGGCAGTTGAAAAGTTGCAACTTTAAATTCTTCTGAATATGAAATGTTGCTGGCAGCCATAAAACCTGTTTAAACCAGTTAAATAGATTTTTTGTTCAAGCTAACAAAGTTCTTGGATAATGAGAGTTATTGATATTAATTTAATCTGAGTGCAAATTAAACAATTTATAAATTGCGTCAGACATTATACAAACGGGTTCAATTTGTGATTAACAGTCAATTAAAGTTTATCAAATAAAATTGCTTAAAACGGAAGAAATAAAAACTTATACAACTTTTGCAGGCCAAATTACTTTGAACTACTTTTTTGGTTAATTTTTTTCTGTTTGCTCACATTAAGCTGAACAACAAATCAACATAAAACAAAACACCAAAAGAAAATAACGAATCAAAAAATGACAGTTAATTGTGCACACAAAAAAAAACGACCAAGGTAATGGCATGTAATCTCTCTACGAACCAAAAAAAGCTGTTTAAATTTGATTAAGGTCGTTGGCAGCATTTGGAGGAGAGGCGGTAAGGGGAGGGGTTCATAGGGGAGTGGAGTTTAAATTACTGAATTATTTTCCAGCATTTGGGTAACCTTGAATTTCGAAGAGGGAGTGCTGGAAAATTTGAATGCAATTCGAGATATTGATCGGAAATCATTCTGCTGCTTTCCATTATTTACTTATTCTCAAATTTTTGGGGGAGTTTAAAATTTTGAGCACAATCTCAGAGGTAATAAATCAGGAGATATGAAATAAAAATGCGAAGAAGTGGTGGTAAAGGTAAACAATAACTGTCACAGCGTTTTACCAAAACACCTGTTGAATAACAACTTTTACCACAATTAACCCCTCCGCATTACCTTTTTTACCACTCATTGCAAGCTCATTTCCCTACCTCCCACCCCCACTTTATAATAGAATAAATGTTCCGCTTCGTTAACAATTGCGAGGGGTCACCTGAAAAGGGTGGACTCAGAGAGGCACGAATAACAGAGCTTTCGAAGGTATTTCAATTGTTATTTAGAATGAACTGCAGTCATAGCCGAATTAATATACTTTTATGTAATTATTCGAACGGATTTGTTGGCCTATGAAGTTTGTGTAATCAGAAATGGAAATGTAGGATAACAATGGTAACAGCAAATAAAGGTTTGCTATTCTGTAATGATTTATTACGATCAAAGAAGTGAAACCAAAATTTATACTCTGCACAAAAATATAATTTATTTTATATTTGTAATTTTATTGGTTGTCTAAATGATTTCCTTCTTAAACATTGTCTTTGTCAGTACCTAAAAATGCTCATCCCTGTTAACAGGAATTCTGTACTCCAAGTGGCTTTATGGCTGATCATCTCCCACAGTGATGAGAAAAAAAGCAACAGTTAAGTGAATTTAACTACCTTTACCACGTCACTTGCACCTTTACCTTTTAGCACGGAACTGTTAATTGAATGCAGGGGAAAAGTTCCCGCCTTCTCTGCCAAGTAGAGTCACCTGACAAAGGGATCCGTCTCATAACGAGTTAAATCTTTACACAGAAGTGGCAACCAGTTTGCGCACTTGTTGTGAGGCCCAGCTCAAATTAAAGTAAAAGTCAAAGGCAAGACTGACGGAAAACTTTAATGATCCCCGGACCCGGTGCTGAGGGTCTTCATAAATTAAATAATCAACTAAGCAAAGGTGGCAAAAGTTTCTTGAACTTTACTGCTTAAAATTCAAAACAAAAACAGAAACCGACAATGGCTACCAGCCAAGTTTACGCTGCTTAATGTTTGTGTTTTATTGCTATTATCTCCCCGCGTTTCTTTTATTTTCAGTATTTCTCTTTGTTTTCCCTGTCTTTCTTTAGTGCAATTTATGTCTCATATTTGCTGCGCCAATCCCCAAAGCGCGTCAATCAATCACGATCGGATTATGCAAAAATAAAGGAGGGAAAAAGCAAACAAAGCTGGGTAAAATAAGTTGGACAAACACCTGTCCCCGTCAGGTGAGATTGACCCACATAAATTCGCTGCCTCTTTGGCGGAAGCTTTTTTGGCTGCCCAAATCAAGTTTTCTATTGCAGAAATTGTTGTTCACGGCGAAACGCCTCAATGCGCACAGTGGTTTAGCCTGCTTGGTGTTACCATTTTAGCGGTGTTGCCAAAGGGTGAAGCACACCTTGCCCACTCACCTGGCCACGCCCCTCCCCCCTCAATTTGAAGACCGCTCATCAAGCGCCTGGGAAGTTCAGCTAATTGAAACTATTAAAAACAACTATGTTTTTAGACTGGTTTTCGTCCGGTTACGAGAGTATCTTGTTTCTTTTGAGATTTTTGTGGATAATTAAATTATGGGAAAGGGCGCAAAAGTATTCATTAAAATTCAAGAAAGTCAGAGAAAGGGATGGAATAAAAAAAATATTACGAGAGGAGTTGGAAATCAAATTAATTTTAATTACATGATTCTTATAATTTTCTACTATGAGTTTATTTGTTGTAAAACAAACCACACTTTCAAATATTCTAATATAAGAAAATCAAAATCAGAAATCAATTATAATTTATATTGAACCGCAATATGGTGTCTACAAAATGAATTTTAATTCTACACTTATAAGTTTAAAGAATAAGTGGTTAAAAATGTATAAGGTATTAAGCAAGGTATTATAATTTCAGTCAACACATAGACATATCCGACCATATAAAGTATAGTTATTTTTGACTTTCGTTCTTAGTGACTCTGAACCAGGAAAGTTTATCTCATTTAAGTAGTGTTTTGGATGAATGTTTTGTAAAAGTCTTCTTTCTTTTGCAGGTAGTAAATAGACGAAACCTTATCATAAAGCTCCCATCGAAAAACATGTATTAAAAACATAATACATTTAAAAAACATTTAAATTGAAATATACTCGTTTTATTAAATTTTATATTTTGGTTATAAGCTGGAAGGGACTATAAACTTCGGCTTGCCTAGGTAGGTTTGAGTTGTTGCATTTTACCTACAAATATGCCTTAATTGACTGATTTCAAATAATTCTTGTGCAACGCAGACACTTTTTTCAGCTTACGAAAAACTTTTACCTTAACAAACATTTGGATGTGCTTCAGTTATTTTCTTTAGAAATGGTTACAAAATTACTAGGGGTCAAGAAATGTCGCTACTGTTGCGATTTCCAAAGAAACAATGCCCTGAGTCACAGTTAATATAAAGAAGAAATTTACGTCTTTTGTTGCCGGACAAGTGAAAGTATTTATGGACATGTGGGCGGTGACTTCTCCAACTGGCCACAATGGGCGTGTCTTGTGAGCTTTCTTGAGAATTAGATATTAATATAAGAAACAACACAACTACGATTAAGTGCAGAAACAACAACAAGATTGTGAAGGGCTTAAAGTAAGGATTTAATACGCACATGTCTCTCAAATGACTGCGACGACGGTCATAAGGAAAATACTCAAAATATTCATCATCCATTTAGGTGAGATCTGTTTCCTTTAATTCAAGTGTTTAATGGAGTTATATTTTTGTCGTTTTGGTTAGCCCATTTGCTTATCAAACTGATAAACAAGGTGCATTTGCCGCAATGTACACGTCATTGACTTTAAATTGTTGACTTTAACCGATAAAGTTCGCTTTGTTAACTTTTCGATAAGATTAAAGGCTTCCAAGAGTTAAACAAGAATTTCCTTGTTTATTTAGTCATTAAAATATTTTAAATGAATTATACTGAAAGTCTATTTGTCTATCATTACAACGTTGTTTATGATATTCATTCTCATAAGAGTTATCTTCCTTAAAATTTGTTTAATTGAGTTTGGCATTTGAATAAGTAACTTAGTTTCTTGAAGTATTTTTTACAACTTAGCTTTTAATTGTTTATATATGAGCTATATTTTAAAAAGGCAATTTTGCAATTTTGGAGAAATTGGTTTATGCTCGAAAATTAATCATTTTTTTATCTCTTCAGCAGTTTACTATACTTCAATTGTAAGCACATTATTAAATTTGCACAGTTTTCGGGAATCTATAATGCAGTTCCAAGTTCTTTGGCACTTGTACTTTGATTTTATTTTTTTTTAGGGAATGATCTTTAAAGACAAAGATTAATTTTGGTAAGTATGTCAAAATATCTTTGACACTTATGATGTGTCGATATAAATGACTTTTTAGATATGTATTTTTCCTGGATTAGTAACTCTTCACACTTCTGTAGCAAATTTGTGCACACCCATTAACTTCACTTTTTATTTGGTTTATGAGCCGCTCAACAAATTGGTAGCTCGTTTTTGCCACAGAAAAGGAAATTTCGTTCGAGAAAACGCACTCATCATTGGCAAATTAGACACACTTTCGCAATTGACGGGTCCGCCAGCCACACTTCACTTTTCATTACGAATCTCCCCAAGCTGAACATCCAAGCCAAACCGCAACTGCAGCCGATGAGCGGATGGTTAATATTTTACGAACACGCGGCTGGAAATCGCTCTGATAACATTGTTAAACGCTCTCCGCCAGCGAAATCGAAATACAAATCGAAAATCGAAAAGAAAATCGCTGGAAAACTGCACTCCCGACCGCGCTGTTCAACTAACAATGAAATTGTGGAGCCCCGGGCGGGCAACATTTATACGGCTGCTCTGCGGGGTAATTAAGGCTATAAAACTGATTCGGTTTTGATTGATGGATCTCGACAATGCGAGCAGGAAAGGGCGATGAAGCCGAGTTGGAGATGCGGTGAGTGTGGCAATGGACCCATCATCCCATTGCGACTGCACTTGGTCTCAGGCCAGGTATAAAAAGTCGATTGCTCTTACAACTCCTAACACAATCGAGAGCTTCAGTTAATTGGCTATGTCGTTACTGGGTTTAAAAGGTGTTGAAACCAAAGTGTGATGTGGAAAAAGAATGTTGGATAAATACATTAATCACATTTTAAGAAAGCACTAATGAAATCTGAGTGGAAGCTATCAAAACTCCTTGTATGCTACGTTATTCCTCTTCATTTTGGTTTTTTATATTTAAAATTTCTTTCTTTCAATTTCGAATGCAAATTTTTAAAACAGTATATATTAAAGTTTTTGTTTATCGTTCTTCTAATCAATTTTGATGATTAAAGTTGTAGATATTAAAGGTTTATGAAAAAATATATGACATTAAAACTTAAAATATTTGTAATCAGAATTGTATTTGTGAAAATTAACAATAAAGGTAACTGATATTAAAATGAACCCTACACTATAAGATGGACATAAATAATGGAAATAAATAAAATAATATATTATGTTGTTGTTTTTTTATTTTGATCTGGTTGCCTTAATCAGTAATTAACATTTTAATTGTGGTTTTTAACCTAACGACATGTTTATGTATTTTTTATTACTGTAGTTTTCCTGTTTAAACAAAAAAATTCGATTGTTAAAATTATGTTTTCTAAGGAAAACCTGTAAAATATTAAATTATCGTTTTTGAAGTAGTTTTTCTAAAGAAACGGTTTTTTGACATTTTGCCAGCACTAACCTATACACCTCTTATTATTCAGTTTTGATCCACCTATTTTTTACCTGCCTGTGTATAAATGGGGCTTTAATCTGGTTGAATGCATGGGAAAAGTGCAGCACAAAAGGGCGTGGGCCCCTTGGAAACCCGGGGAAAAGTCACGTGCAAGAGACGAGACACAAATGTCGAAGATGGAGAAGAGGATAACGCACGAGAAGAAGGCGATTTTGCATGGGAATGTGCAGTACATGGCCAAAGACTGCGCTTGTTATTGTGGCTATTATGATGGTAGTTGAACGTCATTAAGGCGTGACGCCGTGAATTACCAAAGTGTAAACTACAGCACAAAGCTATGTACGAAATCTCATAAAACCGCGCGGCTCAAATTAAAAACGTTTTCTATCCGTGGAAAGCGAAATTTATAGCCAACAAAAAAATCACAATTAAATCTATTTGCACAAATGTATCACATACGGCGCGTTGTCTGGGGTCCCCAAAAAAAATATAAAAACAAAAGGCAAAAGCTGCCACACACAGACACTTTCACATACTTTGGTTTTCTCACTGGATGCGGCGGAATTTTGTATGTTTTTTGTTATTGGTTTTGTACCGGAACACTAGTCACAGACTCTCGGGCGATTAATAAATAATCAAATCGGGCCAAAACGACGTCAGCGATTGCCTGACATCCGCACTCGGTTACAGCGAAGTTCGAACTAAAACCAAAAACGAAAAGCCACATTCCAACTCTTTAGCCGCCTGCCAATCTAAAGGCGGCCAACAAACAGGTTCGAGGCGGGAGAGCCAACAAGCCAAATAATAAACAAAGCGAAAAGCAGGCCAAAAGAGCGAACAAGTGTGTGTGGGAGAGAAACTGAGAGGGCCAGGACCGTTTTCCGTTTCTGTTGCAGCTCATACGGTTGCCAGATAGCTGGAAATAGTTGGAAGTGTGAGGAAAGTAGTAATAGCTAATAGGGAAATGTTAGATATTGATATTTTTCCGATATTATCATTTAAATAATGATATTGTAGCATTAATCTTTCAAGGAAAAGAACCCAATCGAATTTCTTATTTAAAAAGTTTAAGTATACAGTCTATTTAGTATTATTTATGTCAAACCTAATGGAAGTTTAAGAGAACATTATTTATTTCTAACATTACATTATGGACCCCTTGAAAATTTATAAATATACACCATTATATTGAAAATTATAGAAAATAGTAATAACATCTTTGTTTACCAGCTATGTTTAACAATTTTCCGTTAACATAAGTCTCTCCCTCATCAAAGTCTGGCAACTCTTCTGCAGACTGCTCTTTCCCACGCAACTTGTTTGCTCCCAACATGTTGCCCGGCGAAACTAAAAACTAAAAACTAAAATCTAAAACTATACAACATCAACAAATCTGGCAAACAATGTCCATTCTCAAGTATCTATTAGATACCAGCTACCACAAACCGATGCCAAATTGGCGACAGACGGGACTTTCGAGCGGTTTTCGGCTGCCAAATCATTTAAATGCATGCAAGAAAAAACGAGGAATTGTCGCCGAGTCTGCCAATTAGCCGAGAAATGCAAGCCAACTGCCAACAAACTGGGGCCACCGCAAAGTGGCTTCGAAAATGCCTCGATTAGGCAGTCGGCCACCTTAAGACTAATTGAGGGCCAACCATGGATAGACTTGGCGATTATGCACGGGAAAACAGAGATAAACAACGAAAGAGGTGAGAAATACAACTACAGACATTTGAAAATCAAAGCCAAACGCTTGAGGGAAAGATGTCAAGGTAGTACGTACTAGGGCTATAATAAAAAGTAAATGGGGAAAGCTGTTCAAATAAGTTCAATTTGTCGGCTGAAAAGAACCGAATTAAAAAAGAAAGGACGAGAAATTGAATTGAAAATGAATCGAAAATATTATATTGAAACAATCGTCACTTTGTATCAAAATGATAAAACTCTTTAAATCAATTACAAAACATTACAAAACATTTATATAACAAGGAGTTTACATGATAATTTTAACAATTAATTTGAAGTTTTGCAATTGACTATTTCAATGACAAAAACAATCTACAATTTCCATCCAGGATTCGATTCTGGTGTAGGTTGGCGTCTACGCATATTTCGGTTATCCACGTCTGGATTTTCTTTTAAATCACGTGGATTTGGTGATTTTACACGTCTGGGCTTGGTTTTTAAAAGGGGCTTGTTCTCAGTTTGGGTTTGCTTTTCTGGCACTTTCTCATCAACAGGAGCGTTATTTTCGTTTAAGGCATTCTCTTGAAGTTTGGGATCAGGATTCTTAGCAGCTGATTCAGGAATCGTATCAGAATCGGGAGGATCTTGAGGATCTAGGGCCACTGGGGAATTTAAATCCGAAGGCGAATTTTCCCCATCTTCGGCGGCCTTCTTCTCAAGCATGGCATCAATGACCTCACTAGAAATACTAGCTACTGGCTTGGACACTAAGGTCGCATTGAGGGCATCTTGCAACATGACCATATCCTGGCTTACAAACTGCACACGATCTCTCAGCAACTGGATCTCCGATATGGGCACCTGGGGGAAAACCCCATTAAAAACAGAAGACCTCTAATTTGTAGGCTTTAACAATAAACTCACTTCATTCCATCTACGCCTGAACGACTTAAATAACATCCAAGAAAGGCCAATCAGGCAAGTCGTAAGGACCACCAGGTATGACGCTGATCGATCCCATACCAAGAATCTCCAGAGATCAAGGCCCTTGAGCATAAACCAGCAAGCCGACTGCCAAGCGTGGCAGTACGGTGATATCTTCACCGATGTTTCCAAGTCAATTTCTTGGCGGTAATCCCACATTTTTTTATTTTTGTTGATTTGGAGGAGAATTTGGAAAGACTTCCAAAGGAAATAAGATGTTGTTAACTTGTGTTACCAAATTGAACTAAAACCTTCAGCTGAACGGATAACGTTATATTCTCTGATTGCTAGATTCAACATTTCAAACTTTTTGTTCGGAAACAGTTTTTTCAGTTCTTTTTTGGTAAACCTTTTTGTTGCATTAAACTACTATTGAAAACAAACAAGTGGTTGAATTTTCACAGTGCCCTTTGCATTTTCTGATTCAAATCTTTAAGCTCTTCCCACAATTTTCCCTTAATTGTTCTCTGTTCTTTGAATGCATTTTCCCCCTCCATTTCCCAGCGCAGCTTTGTTGAATGTTGAATGCCAAGTGCAGAGACTGGGAAAAACATGTTCCCAGCAGATGAGCAAAAACAAAGGCATTTGCATGACAAATTCAAGTCGGCCAGAGTTGTAGTCGCTTCAAAAAGAGGAGAAGCCATGGAAACATCAAGGTCCGGAAAGTTAACAGGGCATCCACAATTTACAGCCTGCGTGGGGTTAACTAATTTGCACACGCCTTAAAAGCAATGGAATATAATTACTTTTGCAGATTTCTCGCATTGTTTCAATCGAGTTCAAGTTTTAAAGCTAAGCGAGATTGATTATGGCAACCATCTTATTAATAATCCTGACAAAAATTTCCATAAATCGAAAAAGGAAGTTTTATATAGAAATTTCTATTTCTATTGCTGCTTAAATTGATTGCGATTGAATCAAGTCTATAAGTTAATTCTTTTTAAAGCCAGCAGAAAAAAAAAACAAATTACAATACAAATTCTAATATAATTTTTCGTTGATAAATAAAAGCGAAAATCGTTTGCAATTCACCAACTGACTTTTATTTTCGGTCAATTTTTATTTGCGAGTTGACAAAAGTGTCGGCCTAAATTTTGAAGAGTAAACAATTGCCGCATGTTAAACCTGTTTCTGGACCCTCTCACTTCACTTCCTCTGATCGGTTGAGCGAAAAAATAAATTCCAACGGCATGACAACCCCATCGAGTCAGCGAAACCTGTAAGCCAAGTCAAGAGGGAAGGAGTTGGCCAAAAAGAGGGGAGATGAAGGGAAAGACCATCATCTTCTACCTTCAACCTTTTCACTCGGTTCCCGAGAAGAGTTCACAAAAGCGGCCAAACAACTTTTAGTCCAAGAAGATGGGAGCAGGAAACACGGTTGCCAGTTGACAAGCAGAACTGCCAAAGGAAGTTGTATAAATTCTAGCAGATCCAATCTCAGAGCTCTCATTGTATGAACTAAAATCTCTTGGTATTAATCTGATTATTTATTTGACTTCTGTTGTGGTCTTAGTTGCAATTAAGTCCCAGAAAAGTAAGCAATTATTTGTTCGTTGTAACTTTTATGACAGCCCGCAGGCAATAATCATAAATTTCGGCTTTAGGGGGTGGTGGCGGAAAGAAAGCTCTTGAAAATTACCCAATTGAACAGTCGGTTATACAACATTTGAAACAGGGGAAAAAGATGGGAAAAGACTGATAACTTATTTCGGCTGAGTTTTCCTCAGCAATTGAACAAGCCAACTAATGGAAAATTGAAAAATTGTGAGCAAACTTATAGATTAAATTAACATACTGTGAAAAACATCCCAAGAAAATGATTTCGTTTCTTGTGAAAATTTGAATTGAGATTCAAAATAGGAACATATTTTTGTAAAATAACTAATGATGTTTTCTAATAGTAAGTCATTGGCAATAATATATACAAATCTGATGTCCTTAAATATTGATTAAAAAATTTTACAAGACAAGAACATTATTAATAAATGAATTCAAAAAATGTATATACAAATGAAAAAACCAAAACCAAAATGGGTCAACAATGGGGGTTATGATATTTATGAAGCTCTACGTGAAATCCCAAAAGTAAAATACATATATTTGAGATGGCTTACTGTCTCATGGATCCCCAACGACGCTGGGATAAACTATCAGGATTGCTGTAAGAAAAATGTTTATCAATTTGGGGAACGAATTGCATTTTTTAATTTGGTTAAATGTAAATCATTGTAATAGTACGTCACGGTTTCTGAACACAAGACTCATCCTATAAAATGGTATTAATGGTTTTGTTAGTTACAAAATTTAAAATCGAATCAGAAGAACAAATTTTTATAAGAGTTCATTAAGTTGGTACATTGTTGTGAAACACAAAAAATAATTAAAATCGAAATGGTATCTTGTAGAGAAAAAAACTGATTTTTTAAACATTACATTTTACATATTTTATATAGTTTTTAATTTCTTATTATTATAAAAAATATTTCTTGTTATTATAATGAATATATCTTGTTATATCTTGTTGTTATCATGTCAGACATGAGCCCTCATCACGGTATGGCTTAAGAGAGTTAACCGTCTCTCTTACAATCAGGTGAATTGTGAATTCACCACGGCTTTAGCCAAGTGTTGAACAAAGGCGGAAACAGTCAGAAAGAGACGGGAGAACACGACTAGAAAGAGAGGCATGATCACTGTGATGTGAGAGATTCCGAGACCCGAAGACAGAGACACGCATGAATCACGGCCCAAAACGATTCATGTGCCCAAGACAGAGCATAGAAAAAACTGGTTTCAGACTGTGTATGCATTTTTTATGCCACACACACAAACTCGCGTTCAAACAGACAAACACAGGTTTGAAAAAAGAAAAGGTTAACCATTCAAAACGCTTTTTTATGTTGCTTCGGACAGACAAATTAGGAGTTTTGAATTGATGAAGTCTCTGGGTCTGGCCAGCTTTATTTTATGTTCACGGCTATTACGTATTCAGCCAGGTTATGTGTGCAACCTTATAAATATCTGACAACTAAGGAAATTCGCATTCGCTTCGATTTCCATTTTCGGAGGTGGCCGATCAAATGAGCGAGATTACCTGGTGGGAGTTCGTCTCAGACTGCGCCTGGCCCAATTGTCCCGGGGCATAATGTTCAGCTCGTCATCACTGCAACAATGAAATCGAGTTAATAAATGTCAGCGGTACAGTAATATAAATACACGAGTCATTTCAGTGTCAAATAGTTCTAGCAATTAGATCCAGATTGTCTTTATAAATTAAATAGTTCTTTGTTCGCTATTCACAATAAAAGTAAAAACCAACAGCTTTTAATATATGTATGTACATATTTGCCCGCATTATATCTAACAAAAATAGTTCCAAGAAGGAAATATTTTCATATTTAAGAAATAAACTAATACACAACAACATTGTTCGATAAGAAAATAATATTGTCAGCCAATTTTACAATAATTATTAGGAACTATAATTCAAATATTTGTTACGAAAATGTATTAAAATAAAATCCAATTCTTTTGTGATCCTTTGCTCGGCCTAAAGACTTTCAATAATGCCATATCACTTAACCAAAATTTGAATTTCTTTCTAATTTTGTAAAAGAAAAACAACATTTTTCATTAACTTTCAGTTGTAGTTTAGGGGCTTGATAGAGTTTTTCGTGGAAAGACCATATTGATTTCATTTCATAGAACTTTATATATGCAAAACTAAACATATAATCTAATTCCAGCAATTTTAATTAAAAATTCTTTAAGACACTTTTCAAACGCTGACAACTTACTCTTGGGGTGTTGATGAGCCGACATGAGGGGCCAAATCGAGTTCGATGCCATTGCTTCCATTTAAATTGTTATTGCCGTCGTTCGAGTGTTCACTGTGGTTATGCTGAGAGCTCACGTTCCCTACGCTCAGATTGTCATTATTATTGTTAATTAGGTTGCTGTTGTTGTTGCTTCCATTGGAATTGGAACTGCGACCTTCACGAAGTTGGCTGGGATACTCATTTTCGCCATAGCCCTCAAAGGATTCGCCATCAGAAAGCGAGGAACACTGGGATTTGGCTACGCCCGCTGTTAAATCAAAATGTTCATTAATTAATAGTTTGTTAAAGGATGTTATAGTTACTAAATCCATACCTGTGCTGGAGGGCGGACTGCTAGGGGTGGGACTACTATCGCCGGACATCGTCTCCGCATAGAGAAAATTATTTGTAGTGCCCTTTATCGACGCATTTCCATTGGGTAACTGAATTCGGGGCATAGGCGCCATTTTGGGGGAAAACTACAGCAACTGCAAAGAAGAATGAACAATTTAAAGGTTTAAACTGGTTGTCTTCGGAATTTATTTAGATATTCAATTGGCCACAGACATGACATGCAGGTCAATAGGTCAAAGTGCTAAACCAACTTCGACATGCAATTGCAAAAAGTTTAGCAAAAGCGCAAAAAACGAATCCATCTAAAACATTGCAATATTGATTAGAAACTTTACGAGATTGTAATTTGATCAGACACTACCTTGTGCACTTAGTGAAATTAAAACTGTTTTAGCAGATCAATATACCTCTAAGTCCCTATTAATTCCTATATTCATACAATTAAATAGCTAGCTAGAACAACTAAATATTAAGTAACAATTGTACTATGTAGTACTAATAAATGCATTTCCTTTATATCCAAAAACCTTTCGACTGTACAGGTACGGCCTTCAACAGGTGTCTTTTCCGTTTCCGGCAGAAGGAAAATGAAAATTATCAGCCCAAAACGTCATTAAGTAAATTGGGTCGAGGTTTGCTGTGGACATTACTTCCTTTACTGGTCACTTGCATTAGTCCCCACTTTCCCTCCCCTTCAATTACCCAAAACTTTGAGGCATGACTAAGGGCCTAAGTACTTTTATAGAAGTCCCGCGATCTAAGCGTGAGTAATTACCTATATTTCTTTTTTAATTGGTCTAGCCTCTGCCTTGCCGCAGTGTTCGAGTTTCTTTGCCGAGTTTCACGCTTTCGTTTCTTTTGGGCATTGTCACAAAATAGCGGTGGGTGTAAAAGGCAGATGGAGAAGGTAGACCAAAAATCTATAAATATTGTACGTACAATTGGTCGAGTGTTGATGGATGATTGATTGATATGTCAGGGCCGTTAGTTGTAGAAAGCAGAATTAGGTCAACTTTTGTTAAAGGGATTGGTAAAATTTCAGTGACAAATACCTACAAGCCCCTAGTCAAAAAAAGGCTAGCAAAACCGGGTAAAATTTAATCTTTTTTATATTTTCCACGCTTTTTTAATACTTTTTTCATCATTTTGGAGACAAATCAGTCATTCATTGTAAGAGTATTAATAACAATTCGTATGATCATCTCGTAATCATCAATTTGTTTTTATTCATTTAAATTATATTTTCTTATTAAGGATTTAATGGTATGTCATCTTTTTATCTCTTCACACAAATTTCTCTTCAAAAATAAAATAATTAAATTGAAATAGCTATTATAGCGAAGGCATCAATTTCATAATAAACCAACCATAAACTTGTGATTAAATATCGATTGTCAGCTTAATTCGATGCAAAACGTTTTTAACTGGAATAATATGCAATAATGAGCATAAATATGTGATTAAACAGAGGAGGCTCGAATAGTGAAGCTTGCAAGAAAGCAAAGAAAATAGTAAACACACAGCCGGCAATCAAATCCAATGAAATCAAATCAAATATACCATTGACCAACCCGCAAAAAGAGGCGGAGAGGGAAAAGCAGGGAATGCAAAAGCAAAAGAGCAACGAACCTTGGGCGAACCCAACAAAAACATAACAAGTGTGCACTGAAAAAATCGATGAAAGTTACTCAAAATGAAACAAAGCAAAAAAACCGCATAAAAAATGCTTTTTCCCTTATGCAATGTTTTCTTTGGCTTTGGTTGCTTTGCATAATGTTTGGGAGTTGGGCGTGAGTTTTTTGTGAGAGCTACCACCCCTGATGGTTCACATGGCTGACAGGTATGACACACGACTAACTTGGCTAATTCCTATTGGTATGGTATTGCCACACTGGTTAATGAGTATTGATGTTTATAAGAAGTATAAGTATTCTTCGTTGAGAACCAATTTAAAAATAATTTGTTCAAACCAACATAAAAATTTTATTTTAATAAAACAAAATAGTTTCGAAAACTACAACCCTGCTTTGGGTATTGCTATACAGGTTCAGTTCGTATTGATATAAGTATAGGTAAAAAATACAGAAATTTTAAAAAAACATCTAAAAAAAATTGTTAAATCCAATAACCAACATTTAAATTTAAAATTTAAATATTATACTCCAATAACCATTTATAAAACTCAAACATATTGTTATAACAATATTTTACAGTTTGATGTTATTACAAAACAATGGTTGAAAGCATTTTTTGATATATTTAAAAATGTAATCCTAATGGATTTTTGGGTAGAATCTGCCAGTGTATAATAACTTCGGGTTTAAAAAGTTTGCTTCCTTTCCTAGTGTTTGCTTATTTTTATTTTTAATACAATCTGTGCCACTGATATTAATGCAAATAGCAATCTCTTCGCCAGCTGGTTTGGTCACAAAAAGGCAAGAGTAAATCCACAACCAGCTAAGCAAGAAGTGCAGTTAGAAGCAGCCGGCCCGCTCGGTTTACAGTTACTGCAGATGCTCAAGGGGCTTTGACTTTTCAGAGCTTCCCATGAGTTTTTCCCTGTGCTCATTGAGATTATAAAATATATTTCCCATGAACGGTCTTCTTTTGTCTACAGCATCGTTGCAATTATCGTTGCCTGATATGCAAAATAAAGTCAGAAATATTTGAATTAGAAATAAATGAATAAAGAATTGTGTGAAATTTTAAAACAAAAGGAAGATAGGTATAGCGAGGCAAAGAATGTCGTGATTAACTTGGTTTGAGCTTGCAACAAAGTTTGGAGATTTTAAACATGCAACAGTGACTGGAAAATCTATTGCAATTTTTCAATGCATTTATTTATATACTGATATTCATTACATATAATCTGTTTTAATACTTTCTGCATTTTGCCGAGAATTTTAATCCATTCTCGGCAAAATGATAATGGTAATATTTCTATATATTCTATTTGCAATGTTATTAATTATTTATAATTATATAATGCGCGGTTTCACGGGGAAATATGGGATTGAACTCACAAAACACGTTGAAAAATTTAGTGTTAAAATTTGGTTTATAAAAACCTTTGTAAGCTCTTGATTTCGTACCTGATAGATAACAGAACATTACCTGTAAATAAATTGTTTGTGGTTTAAACTAAGGAGAAGAGCATTAGGGGTATTTAGTTATCATAACATTTTAATTGATAAATCTGTTTTCTTTCAATTCTCTATGTTGCCAGTCTAATCTCACGCGTATTCACCCACTAACCAAGAGACCCAATCCAGCCTTGAACCATTTTCTCAGGCACTTTCAATTCATTAACGGCAATACCAGCGCATAAAAATGAGGCACTGCAGTTCATAAGGCCGAACCATTAGCCATATGCTAAAGATCAAAAACCCGATCCCGCCCTCGCAAAAAATGAACCAAACTCATATGTGTGTGCTCAACTCTATATGGAATTGTATAATTATAGCTCAAGTTGTGAATTGGAGGGGGCGGTGCGCTGACAGCATGCAACTGAGTTTCGGTTTTATTTCTATTAGATGTTATCCGAGACTTGACCAGCTGGCTGCCCTCCCCGATTTTCCCCTGCCATCCACTTCATGACTAATAAACTTGAACTTGTGCGAGAGAAAACAATTGAAAAATTGAACCGATGAGACAGAGAAAGAAAATGGGGGAGCAGTATCCACCAGATTGTTCAATTACTTGTCGGTTGTTTTGTCACACACATGTAATCCATCCATCCATCTAACTCAATAATTATGCAGATGTTGTGTTGTTGTCGCAATAATACTTAAAGATTATGAAACCGCACGTACTAAAATAAAAGATACCAAAACCGAAGGAAGCTCATTTAAGATTTCAAGCCATGTGGCAAATGGGCGAGTTCGAATTCGATCCGATGCCGATACCGAGAGTGGATTGCACATTTCAAGAGAACTATTCCCAAAATTCCAATGAAAATACCCAATTAAAGCGAGGAAAGTGCGGAGATTTCGACAGATCCTTTTTCTCAAGTGGCAACAGATGCGGCGATTTTTCAACTACCTGCTTGAGAGATCGCATCGCATCGATAAGCAGACACAGCTGTTTTTCAATTAGTTTTGCTCGGCTCAACAAATCATTTTTAGAGAGTTATTTTCTTATCTAACCCTGGCAAATCTGTTAAAAAATTTCATAGAGAGGTAAACGTGTTTAACGTCCGAGAATTTCGCTAAGCCGCAATGCATTTCAAATGTAATACGTGCTCTTAGGTAAATATTCAGCGACACAGTAATCAATTGCTTAAGTAACTAACAAAGGCAATGAAAACGCGTTGAGGGATTTATCTAAAATTCGCAATTCATATAAACCCATGTTCCGATTTTTTTCTCACATATTTACCCAAGTAATGTCCGAAACAGAAATTTAAAATCATGAAACGCGGGTAAAAACAAATTTAACTCGGCAAATACAAAACTGATTACCAAGTTCGTATCTTCCTCTTAACCCTTAAATAAGCTTATCTAAAAAATTAAACTCCCAAAGTCCCAAAGTAAAAACGCCCCACATTAACAAAAAACGCCCCGAAAAAAACCACAGTATAAAAACAATCAAAGAAAAGACAGAAACCAAAGAGGTTGAAGCAATATTGATGAATTATACAAAACACAGACTGGGAAAGCAAAGAGGAAAACTTTGTTACAACACTTGAATAGGAAAAATTGGGTCATTCGGGGGAGTGAAATGAAGAGGAACGTGAGGGAACTTAACAATGAAAAAGCGACAAAAAGTGGGAAAAAGAAAGCAATCGAGTGAAAACATTAGGAGAAAATTAAATTCTCAATTAGGATTTTGATAAAATGAATAAATAAAACGATTTCCAATTTCAGTTCAATTTTTAACATGTTGAATTAAATTGGTTACAAAAATTGAACTCAAGGCCTTAAGCCCCTAAACATTTCAGTCTGTAATTTTTGATCTCTTAATCTTAATCCTTATGTCGCTGACATGGATGTCGTCATCCCATTCTGTATACTTTGAAATCAATTAGTAGGTCCACGACACGTCTGAATCAACTAAAAGACAAATCTCATTTGCGCCTATGTTGACATATTTTATTTTAGCTCTGTGAATTTATTTTTATCCCTTGAACTGTCGG